CCGACGTCAATGATAAAAAATTTAAAGGCAAAAGAAAGGAAGGAAAAGCAGCATGATCCAGAATTCCAATATCCGAAAGTTGCGAAAGTGACTAGAGCTTCAAAACAAGCTGGAAAGCAAGTTGAGCAAAGCACGAAGGACAAAGAAGTGCTTGATGCTGATGCATACGTCTTGCCTCAACCTATAAACATCACAAAATCTTGGGTCTTTCCACAAACTCTTCTGATTTCAAGATTGATAAAAGATCATATAAAAGACATCTTGCAGCACATATCAAATGTGTCTGGGCTTGAGTAAGTACAAATCATTGACTCGGAAGATAGTAACACAACTGACTTCCCAAGATGTGCCAAGTGGAACCTTCAAACCTTGATGAAACAGCTGCAGAAGACACCAGTCTACTCTCTTGCACCTCGATAGGTTAGATTCCTATTGCTACCGAAATCTCAGTGAAATTTCAAAAATTTCTCTGACTACTGCTTTGTTTCCCTCCTTGTGCATTGATTGATTAAGATCAATTTTCTCTGAACTATCAATTTATGTTTTTTTCTTTGGTTACCACTGGTCTATTTCTGCCATTGTAATCAATTTTCTCTGCCATCCAAATTTCTCTGATCACAATTGTAACACATTAACTTATATGCCCTGATTGATTTTCTCTAATATCTGAATTATGTTGGTTGTTTCATAATTTTCTCTGGCCCATCAAATTTTATCTCCTTGTGTGTAATTTTCTCTGCCCATAACTTATGTGCCTTGCATCTTTGATAAACACTGTTTATTTCTACCCTTCTAATGAATTGTCACTGGAATTCAAATTTCTCTGACACAATTATAGTAAAACATTAACTTATATGCCTTGATTGATTTTCTCTGATATCTAAATTATGCTGCTTGTTTCATAATTTTCCCTGCCTCATAAAATTAACTCCATGTCTCTAATTTTGTCTGGCCCATAAAATTTTCTCTGAAGTTTGTTTCCCATTAGTATCATTTAGATGAATTTTATTTTCCTTATTTGAATTTTTTCTCTCAGTGAATTTTGTAACATTTCTCTAATAAAAGAGTCTCCTGTTACAGATTGATAACAAGCAGCTAGTCAAAAACTCATCAGAGGAGTTCTATCTTGGCAAAAAGACGAAGAAAGAATTAAAAAAGGCAATTCTCATATTCAAGGAGACATTACAAGATCCATCTAAAGATGAAGGGAATGAACAAGTAGAAGACAACACAGAAGAATACGAAGCCAGCAATGGACAAGAACATCAAGCATGTAGCACAGAAGAAGAAACCAGCGAAGAAATAGAACCAGAAGACAGTGAACAAGAAGATGAAGAAGAAAATGAACAACAAGAAGAGAACAAGGATGAAAGTGATGAAGAAGAAAATAATGAGCCGATGGACCAAAAACATGATGGCATTTGTGGCTCAACAATGCATCAGCCTGAAGAATTTGAGGAATCAAAGGATGTCCAAATTGCTGATCTACGTCAAAGACTGAAGGCACTTTCTCATTCTAAAAAAGAAGAAGACAGAAATTGGATTGAATTACTTGCTGAAAAGGATATTTCAATAAGAATCCTGACATCACATAACTCAGAACTTCAAGAAGAAGAAAGCACAATCCGAATGACACTAAGTATGTTGGAGGTTGAAAAAGCAGACGATACAAAAATAATTCAACAGTTGAGGTGTTCAAATTCGGAGCTTGAAACTGAAAATGCTAAATTGCATGAACAAGTTCAAGAACTATCCGTCCAACTAGCAACACAACCATACCGAACACCAACACAACTTCAACCACAAGGTCAGTGAAAATCTTGAGCCACAAAAAGTTATGTCCTTGTGCCAACATAACTCAGAGAAATTTCTATTTATTATAATTTTCTCTATCATTGGTAATTTTCTCTGGAAGTTATATCTCTCTGAACACATTAGTTATATTTCTACTGCTCATTTCATTTCTCTGTATATTTTCTTATTCATTTTTGGGGCTTGTTTGATTTTCACTGTGTATAGTTGGAATGCAAGTGGAACAACAACCAACAACCCAACAAGAACAAATGCACACAAACAACAATCGAAACAAAAGAAGAAACTCTATGGTAAATGCAAAATATTGAATTATATAAATTTACATATTGAAATATCATCTGTTGCTTCAGAGAAATTTCACTTTTTCTAATATTTTCACTGTCTACAGTCAAAAAAGATCCGACGTCAATGATAAAAAATTTAAAGGCAAAAGAAAGGAAGGAAAAGCAGCATGATCCAGAATTCCAATATCCCAAAGTTGCGAAAGTGACTAGAGCTTCAAAACAAGCTGCAAAGCAAGTTGAGCAAAGCACGAAGGACAAGGAAGTGCTTGATGCTGATGCGTACGTCTTGCCTCAACCTATAAACATCAGAAAATCTTGGGTCTTTCCACAAACTCTTCCAATTTCAAGATTGATAAAAGATCATATAAAAGACATCTTACAGCACATATCAAATGTGTCTGGGCTTGAGTAAGTACAACAAACAAAATAGAACATAACAAACAACAAATTACAAACTTATGTTGCATTAACAACAATTCAATCCCTTCTTTGTCATCTTGTAGAGCTTTAATTTGGACAAGTGAGTTGAATCTCATTACCTTTGAAGACATTGGAAACCTAATAAAGCAAAAAGAAATTCCAACACTGTAAGTCTTTTCCTTTCATCAAAATTTCTCTGCAATGTTCCATCAGCCTTTATAAAAGAATATTACAATTATAAATCATATTTTTCAGGTCATTGATGGCTATAGAGAGATCCTTTTGGCTGACCAAATGAGAGAGAGACAACAACCAACCTCATTTTTTTTCACATCCATGTGCTTAGTATGTTACTACTATTTTATTTGATTTTCTCTGGAATTTACTTACTACTTTCTCTTCTTAATATACTTCTTGAAGCCAGTTGTGTCACTAGTCATAACAAAACCATTTTTTGATTTTCTCTGAACACAGAATTTCATCAAGATGACAGAAAATCAAACTTTTCGAGTGTCCTTATTTGACAAGCATATTGAAACAGCATGGAGGAACTACAGGTTCCTCCATTTCCCAATAAATACTGGAGGTAATGAGAAGTCCACACATGGAAATCACTGGACCTTGCTTGTCCTGGACAAACAAGACAATTTATGGAGGTTCTACAACTCACTAAGGCCAAGGAGGGATGATACAGAAGACAAATATGTCAAAGATGCAAAACAATTGGTAACGAGTGCAAATTTCTCTGATCCAGCATCATCTTTATGTGATGATAATTTTCATAGAATCCCATTGACTTGTCCGTAAATTTCTCTGTTATATAAAAATTATTTTTTTTGCAGCAAGATTACGTGAAGAATTTTTTGAAAGCTTGCCTTGAAAGAGACGCTCAATCACAACCCTCTTTCAAATTAATAAACTCACAAAACACAAGTAATATGTCAACAATGCTCCACAATAAGAAAGCGATTCGTAAGTTTCATACATCTATAAATAAAATAATCTGAATTGCATGTTTCTTAAAACTAACCATACCTATAATTTGTATGCAGTCTGGATTGTGGCCTCTTTGTCTGCTATATAATGAAACAATATAGCAAGCATGAACCTATCAGCTCCAAATTGTCCACACAAGAGATAAGGTTGATGAGGGCAGAACTCACAGAGAGATTTGTGACCGAAGTTAGCCGGTCATGGACTGAACCAATTGAAATACCTCCAGAAGAACCACAAATGTAATAGTGAAACTAGTGAAAGGAAGACAATGTACATATCCACACAGAGAAAATTGTCTCACATATATGTATATATCCTTTCTTGACTAATCTAAATTTCATTTTTTTTTATTGTTATTCACAGAGAAAATTGTCTGCAGAAATTTCTCTGGTATAAACTACCAGAAATTCACAGAGAAATTTAACTTGTATATATGATCATGTAATCTGTAAAACTTTGTGTTGGTACAAAACAATCATAAAACTCAACAAAACACAAAGCGAATTTCTCTGGTATGAACTACCAGAAATTCACAGAGAAATTTAACTTGTATCGTCCCAAGGGGATGCCTATATGATCATGTAATCTGTAGTACTTTGTGTTGGTACAAAACAATCATCAAACTCAACAAAACACAAAGCACACAGTAATTTTATCTGCCACTGGAAAATTTCATTGCATGAAATTTTAAATTTCAGAACACAATGCCCAGATAGTTTTCTCTGATGGTGGAAAATTTCTCTAGATGAATTTGACAGAAAATGGAATTTCTGAGTTATGAATTTCTCTGGGTTGAATGATTTGGAGAGGAATTTCTCCGACTTGGTGAGGAAAATTTCTCTGGCTTTGACACAAATTTCTGAGTTGAAGTGAGTCTAGAGAAATTCTTCCCTGGTCCAGAGAAATTCTCAACTCAGAGAAATTCCAAAAGAGCTTAATTTTGTTTCTTGGTTGTACAATAATTTTTTGTATGCTCTGTCTGGTGTGCACATTTCTTGAAATGACTGATATGAAGCAACCAGAAATTTACAGATAAATTTAACTCATATCTCGCCAAAGAAGGTGCCTATATGATCATTTAATCTCTAATGCACTGTGTTAGTATAAAATAGTTATCAAATTCAAAAAACACAATCCACACAGTACTTTAATCTGCCATTGTCAAATTTATGTGGATGAATATGAAGCTTCAAAACACAACACACAGAATTTTCTCTGCCATAGGTAAATCTCTCTTGATGAATTTGACAGGTACTACAAACCCACTGCCTATAGTATATATCAACAAACACACTTTAACTGATATTGGAAAATTTCTCTGGATGAATTTGATTGATATTATTATATACACTGTCTAAAAAATACATTTCACAAAACAAAATACACAAAGTAATCATCAAATGTATTATTCAATCAATAAAATGTATAATCCTCAACTATTTAACAAAGGTTCCTTGCATGTCCTCTTATTATGGTGACCAATACTCTCACAATGACTACACTTAATCACCCTTTTAAACTCTCCAGTAGAAGCAATTCTGTTCTTCTTCGGCCTCCTAGCAGGTCTCTTGCTTAATAGAGGTAAAATCATAGCATCTTCAATGCTACACACAGGTTTTTCAACAGTTAGAACTGGGCCAATCGAAAACGAGTATGCTTGACGATACATATCAGCATGAAAAAATGGTTCAACAAATGAATTCAAATTCTTTCCACTCCTAAAAATTGCAGCAACAGCATGTTGACATGGATACCCATTTATTTCCTGTTTTCGACATTAACAAGTTTTCAATCCAAGATCAATCAAAACCGAAGGAAAAAAAATGCACTTCAAACACATTATCAGATGATAAACTCACATTCCATGTCCTCCCATCCAAAAAAGACTTCTCCAACACACTATCCATACGAGGACACAAATCTTATTCCATTTACTAGAGAGCAGCCTCCTATCAGACCTCATATTCATGATTTGCAACCGTATCATGTCCACCAAATATGTTATTAGCTAGTGCCGAGCTTCTCGTATCCATGAATTGAATGACTCAGCAACATTTGAATACATCTCACCATAACATTTCCTCGCAAAATATGCATCACTTCAATTTTCATATGGTAAACTTCTCAAGAAAACACTCACAATGTCTCCTCCCTCACTTTTTAACTCATTTAACTTGAAATGAAATGATGCCTTTGTTGGAGCATATGCACATTCTGAAAACTTGGACACAATCGTCTCCCTAACCAAATTTGTGTTTCCACATGACAACTTATCCCTCAAATTTCTCTTCAGATGTTGTAGACTGTCCAGACAAAATTCCATGAAAGCAGTTAGGGAAAAACCTAGCAATTCCCTCACAATTCCACAATGTCGATCTGATATGAAATCTATCACCCTTTCTGATCCTAATACTCCACATAAATGTTCAAGAACCAACACCAATTGTCTTTATTCTCAGCATCAACAAACAACAAAGCTACAGGAAAAACCTACAAAACAAATAGAACAAGCATATTAGATATACACATGCAGAGAAAAATAGAACAATAAACAACCAGAGAAGTTTGACACTGCCAACATCCAGAGAAAATTCACTAGTGCCCAACTCCAGAGAAAATTCACACAATTGGCAACATCCAGAGAAAATTGACTTAGTGACCAGCTACAGAGAAAATTCACACAATCATAATATACAGAGAAAACTCACTTAGTGACCACCTACAGATACAATTCACACAATGACAACATCCAGAGAAAATTCATACATTGACCAAAATCCAGTGAAAAATTCTCACAGTGGCCACAACAATAGAAAATCCACACAGTGGCCAAAACCAGCGAAAATTCACATTCACTCAATTCCTACATGCATAAAAATTCACATACTTAGATAACATTAGATATATTTACAATACCTTCATTCCCATCTTTCCCCGTTGCAGCAAGCATAACTCCTTTGTATCGTCCTTTCAAAAATGTTCCATCAAAGAAAAAGCAATGACCGACAAATATTTGAAACCAGCAATGCATCCATGAAAAGCCACAAACACTCTTGAAACGCTTTGTATC